CAGCGCAGGCACTCTCTACACCCCGAAGTCTGCACTGCAGCCTCCCCTCTCATCGGCTCTGAGTGCCTACGGTGGCCACCGCCGGGCCAGCCAGAGCAGAGCTCCCAGACCGGGCCCTGGTCATGCGGTGAGTGCTCACCATCCTGCGCAAACTGCCTCAACTCGCTCTGTTCCCCACGCTCCTGGTCGGCCGTGCTCCCTGGGGCAGCTTTTTACCCAATCAGGGCTAGCGCCTTTGCTCCTGGCTCCGCCCCCTGTGAGTCACTGCTCGCGTCAGCTGAGCTGCCGGCTCCTGGGCAGGTCCTGTCGAGTACTTGAGGCTCCCTCGGTGGCTCTTGTCGCTCTCAATTGAGGCTCCTGACGCTGATCTCCCCCCTCTCCGGTGTTCAAGGCGTCCTCAAAAGTGAATAAACAAGTGCCCCTGTTAAAACCAAATTTGGAGATCCTGGAGACTTTGGGTAGATATTTTCCACCAGTGGAGGGGCTTTAGGGGCTGGCACCATTGCACTGTAGAGGTAAATTTTTGGTGAGCATTAACACCCATGATACTAAGAATATTGACAGTAGTGATGGAGGTGAATTCTCAGCAGGGAATTCAGATCTTTTGAGTGGTGGAGAGGGGTTTGAAAAGTCAAGACTCAAAATGAGGAAAAGATTGTAAATACCATGAGACCATCTGAAAAAGCAAGGAACTCAGTGGGAGGGGAGGACCCAGTTTGTGTAATGAAACATGTATGATACTCAAAATACTTAACTTCTGTGTTTTCTTAATCTTCCCCTTCACAGCTGGGGAGCCCTGCCTCAGCTGCACCGAAGTAGCAAAATTGATCTTTCTAGCCCAGAAACCCTTGGTTTGAACTGTGACTTCCACAGAAATCCAATTTCAAGCTTTTCAGCTAATTCGGCTTTATTGTCCCAAATCGCAAAGTACAAGATGTTTATGCCTGGGATTTACTAAGGCTGAACATGTTGTCTCAAAGTCAGAATATTCAATTATTCAAGAGCAAATTACCGGGATGGTTAAGAAATGTCACTAGTGTACAGTTCTTGTTGTCTTATACCATAGTTGCTGTTCCCAGCAAAGGGGCTTAGGGTACAGAATGCTGCTCCCCATTGCACAACAGTTGCTTGTTCTGCCTTCTGGGTCCTCAAGCTGCAGAGATGCTCTCAGCAAAGATGATATCCATCAGCTGTCAGTGGTTGATCACAAATAAAAGAAATGCAAAGAAAGCCAGGTTGGACAGGCCTTGGGGCAACCTACTCTAGTGGAAAGTGTCCCTGCCCATGGCAGGGGGCTGTAACTGGAGGAGCTTTAAGGTCCCTTCCAAGCCAAACCATCCTGTGATTCTGTGAAAGGAAACAATTCTGGACCCAGACCAATGAACTTCCATGCCTTCAAAGGATGTAGCTAAATAAACTGTCTCCAGGTGCCTTCTCCAGAAAGAGCTAGCTTCAGTGTTAGTATTAAACCTCTATTTTCTTCCTGCAAAGGAAGTCCTGACTTCCTGAACATCTCTAGGAAGCTCTGACATAACTGACTTGCACAGTGGCTGCACAACTGTACTGCTGGAGAAGGGGCAGCAGGGCTCCTTTCCCCTTCCAGGGGTGCACTGTGACACTTGTCAAACGTGGTGATGTGTTGATGTCATCAACCCAGGCCCTCCTTTCATCCCTCTGTGCAAACTTAATTAAAATTGTGCTAAACTCTGCATATGGTCAGTAAGGACATGTGCTACTTGGGCAGGGCTCAACACATCTATCCTGGTAAAAACTGATGCCTGCTTGCTGCAGTGTGTGGAGGCTAAACTTGGGGTTGTGAACCCATAGTGGAAATTTGGATGTACTCATGGTTTTTCTTGCAGTTGTGAGACTTCCACTGTGGGAATTAGAGAAGGGTTTTGATTTCTTAGAGGTGAGGGGAATATTGTGGCTTTTTGATGGTGCTGTCTTAGACACTTGATTTCCTTGTGTACCATCATCTCATCTGTTAGGAGTTAAAAAGTAGAAGCAGATCAGTCTGACTTATATCTTCTGTAAGGAAGTTTAGGTTAGATGTATAGATGGAGTGATGTCAGTGGCTGTAGAGGTGCAGCAGATCAGTTCAGAAAAGGGTTTCACTTGATGTAAACATGAGCAGACGTAGCGCGATAGACTCTGCCTGCCACATATGAGTCCCGGCATTTCTCTAGCAAGAGAAAAACAACTCACTAGAAAAACCTACCTGAGCTTTTGAAAGGTCTCTGCAAACTTAGAGTGTTGTAATTACTTTTTTTCCCCTCCCTTTTTACAGGAAAAATGCATTCAGCCATGTGCCTGCCAGGAAGAAATTGGGCACAACTTGTCCTGAAAACAGGAAAAGAGCTACATTTTGCTGAGTCTCTGTGGGAAGAGGGGGGAAAATGCATAAAAGGCCCTTTCTCAAATGAATGCTTGCAGAAGGATGTTGAGCTGTAATGGCCACTTCAGAAATGACTATAGGATGCTCTAACAGTCATAAGTACTTCCATGGTACAGATAAGTTGAATTTGCTTTGAGAGGGCCAGGCATAAAAGGCTGCTATAAAAGAGTACAGAAATATTATGAATTAATGGTGTAAACTCCCTGTTACCAAAGCAGAGTTGATACAGCACTGAAACACATGAAGCAATCAGTGGTGAATCACTGGGGCAGAGTGGATTACAAGTCTTCTTCCTGCTATTGACTAACGTGAGGACGTTGTCTATCTCCCCACACTACGCCAAACATCTCCCTTTTGCATGCGTGAATGCTAAAAGGAGGAAGGTGGAATGAAAACACTGTTCATACATATTATTCATGTGCAAGCTGTGGATTTCATATTCTTTTTTTTTTCAGAAGAAATCTCCTTTCCTTTAAGACCAAAAGTAATATATGCCAAGCCAATTAATTCTGAAAATTTACCAGAACACATATCATAGCTTATTGTGTTTATCATAATAATGTCCCCTTTCTGTCTTATTTATCTTTATGGAAAGGTGAGGTTTGGAAAATATTTGGAAATATTGTGCTACCTTTTTCTTTCCTATCTTGGTGCAATAGAGCTGCTGGAAACAAGGACCAATTTCTAATCAGTTTTCATAGAAGCCCAGACTGGTTTGGGCTGGAAGGGACTTTAAAGCTCATCCAGCTCCAACCCCTGCCACGGGCAGGGACACCTTCCACTGGAGCAGCTTGCTCCAAGCCCCTGTGTCCAACCTGGCCTTGAGCACTGCCAGGGATGGGGCAGCCACAGCTTCTCAGCACCCTCACAGGGAAGAGCTTCTGCCTAAGAGCTCATCTCAGTTTCCCCCCCTGAGGCGCCTGGATTTTGCCCTAGCTCTCTGTCTCCATGCTTTTCAGTTAAAATGGTAATTTAATTTCTTCTCTGTGGTCCTTTGAGGAAAGAGTGTTAGCGGGGAACAATGGTTGCTACTCGGAGTATAATTCCAATGCAGGTTTTGTCTCTTTTGAATATGTATGTGATGTAAAGAGGGAAAGATGGGCGCTAACGAAATACGTAACAGTTCTGATGCTCTCATGAAGAGGGCATTTCTACAGCATTAGTTCTGATTATTTCTAATCATGTACATAGCAGTCAGGCTGTGCAAAAGGAAATCACAAATGTTTAGCCTTTCCTCTAGCTTATAGGTCTGAGCCTGAAATATTAATTAGCTAATGACCATCATGTGGTCTAAAACCACAAAGAGGCCTTATGTATGCTTGGTTTGGCCATAGGCTAAATTTCATAATTTTTTCCAATTCCTCTGCACTGATCCAACCAAGACATGTAACCTGTTTTCAAGCCTTACATCTTGTTCTAAATTCTCTCATCAGTCTGCTTAAGAAATGTGTGTCTGACACTAATTTGAATCTATCTGCCTCTACATTGTTACCAATGGATCTTGTTGTCCCTTAATCCACTTGAATAAAAGTCTACTTTTAACTTGTGTGTCTTCCAAGAAGATAAATATGTGTAGTAATAAAGTTGCCACTCAACCTACTACTTGGAAAAATAAATTGGTAGAGCTTTGAGACTCTAAACATTTTCTTACCTTATTCTCATCATGATTTACCATTTGGTCTTTGGTAAAATTTCCAGAACAACCAAAATGAAAACTTTATAGCTTTAGTGATTGCTCAGCTTTGTACAAATATATTATCAAACAGGAAAGCATGCACTACTGACATGTGCATAAATGAAAAAATGGCTCAACAGCTTTAACACTTCACATAAATTCATCTGTTATCTGTAATACATGCACATGCATTATGGTAGGGAAGGTGATGTGCTCACAGAGAAGTGTTTTATTTGCAGTAAAATTTGTCCTACCTGCATCCTTCTCTTCTCAGGTAAAGTGTCCCCAGCAGTTTTGGTTTGATGTGATGACTTTCACCAGTTGTGTTGATCCTTAGCAGTGACTCTGCCCTCTCCAAGAGATGGGTTTGTTTCAGTGGTGGGTGCAGAGATCCATCTTTGAGGTCTGTCTTTCAGCTCAGGATTGGGGATGACCTAGATCTAAATGTAATAGACATTGAGAGGCTTACAGAGCTGGGTTTTTCATCCCAGAGAACAGAAGGCTTCTTAAGGGGAGACCTTAGAACAGCTTCCAGTGCCTAAAGAGGCTACAAAAAACCTGGTGAGGGGCTTTGGACAGTGGTCTGTAGGGACAGGCCAAGGGGAATGGCTTTAACCTGCCAGAAGGGAGACTGAGATGAGCTCTTAGTCAGAAGCTCTTCCCTGTGAGGGTGCTGAGGCGCTGGCACAGGGTGCCCAGAGAAGCTGTGGCTGCCGCATCCCTGGCAGTGTTCAAGGCCAGGTTGGACACAGGGGCTTGGAGCAAGCTGATCCAGTGGAAAGTGTCCCTGCCTATAGCGGGAGCTTGGAACTGAATGAGCTTTAAGTTCCCTTCTAACCCAAACCAGTCTGGGATTCTATGATCCTATGAATATACAAGGTGAGGGATTTCTCCTGTTGTCCTGATCTTTCTGTTCTCCTTCCACAGTCTATGAGGTGGTGACAGTGACAGGAGATGTCCGAGGAGCAGGAACCGACGCCAATGTCTTTGTTACTCTCTTTGGAGAGCATGGGATTACTCCCAAGACTCATCTCACAAGCAAGTGAGTATCTGGAAAGAAATCTGTATCTTTGAGGCCTGTATTTCAGTAACATTTATTGCACTTTGATGAAATGTGATATTGTGCTTATGGATGCAGAGGGAATAAATCTAAAAGGTATTTTGAGATCACCAGGGAAATCTGAATTTTTGCTGTTGCATGGTTCTTACAAAATCCCTTGCAAACCTGTATTCCCTTCTGTAGGTGGAAATATATGTTCAGATCCATATTATATGAAGCTTGCACTTGCAAGGTGTGGGGATACTTGCTTTTCTTAAAGCCTAAATTAGGAGCTCCCAATTTAGGAGATGAGAATATTCATTGTTTGTTGGAGTGGGCATGATGGGCCATGTTTCCATGTCTATAATCCCACTGAGGTCTCTATGCTAAGTCAGGTACAGAGATAAGTGTCCTTGAATGTTTCTGAAGAGTGACTCAGTGGGTTTGAAGTAATGTTGATGGGTAACCACCCACACCCAGCCACAGGAAATCTGAGGCGAGTAGAAATGAAAGAATTAAAGCTGATTCCAAATATAGACTGTTTCCATCCTGTCTGATGTATGCCTTATTGCACACCACTGTGGCTGCACATTGCTGGTGGTACTGCTCTGTTTTCCTCCAGCTGATGCCAATGCCACCCTCTGGCTGCAAGTTCTCAATTCTTATCATTATGTTGAACTTGGTGGAAACCGTATTTTCTAATTTAAACACCTACTGTTAGGCTTTTGACTCTCTCAATAGCTTTTATTTTTCTTGAATAAGAAAAAAATAAGTGGGAATTAGGGCCAGCAGGTGCTCAGCTCCCATGAAAGCAAGGTGACTTTTAACAAAGTCCCAGCTCTGCATGTACTAATTTCTCCTTAGGCAGATAATTACACTAAGATAAAGCAAAAATCCTTTCTCGATGGGGTCCAGGAGAGGCTGTGTGTCTCTGTCTTTTTGTGTTCTTATTGTTTTTTGGTTTTCTTGAAAATATGTTTCAGAATTATTAATCCTGTGCTAATGTCACACGGTAACTTCACATTTTCTCCATTTCTACAGCACCGACAAGAGGTACCTGCAGCTATTTTAAATTTTACCCTCAAAAGAGCTTCTCTTCCCAGTGAAGCAACTCAAACATGAGAGTCTGTAAAGAAAATGATATGGGAATGGTAAAGAAAATACATGAAATTTCAGCCCTGTTTGCCATATTTGGAATTCAGAAATTAGAGTGAGGCAAAGGAGTTATATCATCCCAGCATCCCTAGAAACACCAGTGAGATACTTGATGATCGTATATTGTGTATCTATACAAAATGCTTTCTCTCTGCCCTGTGATTTTCATCCAGACATCCCAGTGAACTTGTAAAGCAGAATACCATTTCTTGTGATTTAATAGTGGAGGAAACCGAGGTAAGGAGCTGAAAGACATAGCAGTTCAGTGGCAGAGCAGGAAGCAGCAGCAGCAGCTCTGAGGGGGAAAGACCTCCTAGCACCCAAACCTGCCTTGCTGGCAAAGCCATCAAAGCAGATTTACAGTGAATGTTCTTCTGGTCAGCCTTTACGTAAAGAGCCATTTCACTGTGAAAGTGCTCTTCTGCATGTGGCTGTGGAAAGAATCCAAGTATTATCTTAAAAATATAATACTATATGCCCTTTACAGAAGGAGTCACGAGATCCCTATAATAGATTTCTCAATCAGCTGTGGCTTTAAACAAGCTACTCATTGTAAATGTCATTTTTGCTGGCACTCTGGTTAATGCCTGCTCTTTCCTCCTGGATTCACCACATTTACCCTGTGAAAAAAAAAGAAGGGACATGCAGGGATTATTTTAGGTTGCAGCAACAGCAAACTGAGCTTGTTCAGACCTGGGTTAGCATTCTGGCTTGGTCCGTGTTTCTTCAGAGAGCAGATGGCTGTGGTGTTGGTGAGGAAGGATGAAAGGCATGGGAAGGCAGCCTTCTGCAGCTCAGGGCACTTAAAGCTGGTCCCGTAGGAGGTGAACGTTAGAACTGCAACTACAGCTTTCTAATGGGAATATCCCAAACATCAGCAAAACTTCTGTGTCTCTAAGCAAAGTCTGGTGTGTTACAGTGCGTCATCGAGGAACAGTGAGGAAAAAAGCTAGACTGAGTGTAGGAGTATCTGCAGATCTACTTAATTGATAGTCTTTTCTGCTAAATATGAAGCAAACCAACAAATAGTCCGTTTGCTCAAAAATTATTATGCAGCTTTGTGAATATGGCAAAAGGATGGAATCTCATGCATCTTTCAACTAAATGTTTACATGAGTTCACTTATGACTGCAAATGCATGACATTTTATAGGTGTTTACATTCCCTGTGTATGACAGAAAGCTAAAATATCATGCATTGCTTAAAGATGGCACTACCCCTTCAGCTTCTGGTTAGAATAGGTTTTTTATTTCTTATTTCTTTTGTGATTGTGTGCTGGTAGTGAAATACGTGATATTTCAGATCTTCTTTGTCATGCGTAGTAAAGGGAAGACACGGCAAGCTGATGAAATACGTGTTTTTAACATTGGCCAATAATAAGGTAACTGTGAAAAACAGACACAAATCTTCATCATGTCTTGTTAGAAGGTACATCAGTTGTAGAAGTGGCAGCACCCAAATTCTGTCCCAAAGGATGCATTTATTTAGGCAAGGAGGTTTAGCCGAGTAGTGTTTGCGTCTGGGAGGAACTGGAATTCCTCCGTTGCAGTCACAGTCTGCCAATCTGGTGTATGGCAATGCTTCCCCACTGGTGCTGGAGGTGGTGGATGGGTGCTGGCAAAGTGCTGCTTAGCCCCAGCCACTCTTGGCAAAATCCCACTTCAAAACCCAGCTTGCACAACATTCCAGGTCCCCCACCTGCCATCTTGCACCAGCTACAGCTCGGCCAGAAGCTAAAAGCACTATCACAAGTAAGTTTCTTTCCACAGGCTCCATCACAGGCACCTGGAGGGACACCAAGGCATTGCTTGGTGGTATTTTGGCAGTTGTCAAGACCTTTGCTACAGGCAAGAGATGCTTCTCCAAGGTCCAATGCTGGCCATGTGCTGATACAAACAGGGCTGATCCCCTATAGCATTTTATTTCTCCATGCTCATGTGCTTTCCACCATGATGAGGCTGAGGACTGGATACAGAACTCAGCTGGGAATGCTGCTGCCAGCTCATTCACAGTGCTTACTAGCAAATGTATTTATTTGTTGTTAGTGTAAACAAATCCACTTTTCAGTGTCAGGCTTATCTGGTCCAGCTTGTGACAACACAATAAATTCTCATGGAGAGAATTTTCCTTAAAAAAAGAAAAAAAAAGAAAAAAGAGATATAAAAGATGGAGCAGCAATGGCAATCTGAAAGAACGATGAAGTAACTGGTAAGTGACAGCTGGCTTCTTACAGGATTAGAGGACTCTTCAGTGGATTTTAATTGTTTCTTTATTTCCTATGCTGAATACCTTTAACTGGCAGTCTCTTCTACCTGGTCACTGCAAAAAGCTTTTCCTGTTCCTAATGCCAGCAAATAACACATGAATTGTGCAGTATGTACATGATGGTCTTCAGAGGATGTTGGTGTTTGTAGCTCTACTGCATCTAACAACTGTGGAGTTGCATAAGATCTGTCTTCGTTGTTTAACAGCTCTGGAATAAATAAACACCTTATTTGCTGTTAATAGTTAATGTAATAAGTTAGGAAGTGTTGGAAAGTTGGTACAGAAGGGACTGTTCAGGCAATGCAGCAAACAAACCCCAAGTTCAGTGGAGAAAGACTTCTCGCGTTGCTGCTGAAGCACTCATTCAGAAATGAGTTACACTGCTTTTCCTTTAATGGCACAGGATATTTCCCAGTTTAAAGCTGTTTATGTATTTAACTACTCTGATTTATGCCCATACAAATCTGCAGCACTTACACCTCACTGTGCAGACTTTATGATAAAGAGCAGTGTTAGGTGACAGCACAATTTGTAGTATATATTTACTTCTGAAAAAGAAACAAAGTGGGAAATTTCTTCATTCTCTCTCACTCAGGTTTATTGGTTAGCCTTTGTCTAACACTTCAGGAACAATATTACCTTAGAGGGTGCTTAGACAGCAGTGTTGAACAACCCAAAGATAAGACCTGGTAGCACTGGTGCGTATATAAATCATAATCAACCTGCAGCTATGCACATAGCAGCTGGTGGTACCAACTGCAAGGTTAAGCCTTAGTGGGAGAAAGAGGAATTTACTCAAAACAGGCAGACTTTTAAGGAAATTTAGCTGCTAGAGCAGGTCGCTGCTGATCAGGCATCAGCAGCATTTTTCAGCCTGTAAAACTTGCCCAGTTTTCCCCATGGGATGAATGTAAAGTGCCTTCCTGGAGCAAACTCGGCCTTCCTGCCAATCCTGCCCCTATCCCAGCTCATTAAATCTCTGTCTTAAAGATCCCTGAGCTCATTCTCACTAAAATTTTTAAAAATATTTCTTCAATGGAGTGGGATAGAATTTTTCATCAGAGTGAAATTTGCCCCCAGATCTGTCAAAAAAATTGTAATTTCATATTGGGACATGTAGAGTAACCTTTGCATTGTTTCCAGTGGCACTATCTGCTTTGTATGCAGTTTCACCAGAAAATATTAACCAAACAGTAAATAAAGAAGACATGAAGAATAGCTATGATTATCTGAATGGAATACCACTTTTTTTATTTTCTTTATGTAAATCATGCCACCAAAGCTGAAAAACTGGTATCATTGCTGCTCCATGCAGTGAAGGAGCACATATCCAACATGTGCTGTTAAGGCTCTCAAAATCTGTACTGGGAATGTTTATGGATAAGGCAGGAGCTGTTTCAGTGTGCCTTATGGCACTTTGTTAAGTTTCAGGGTAAGTTCAGCTAAAGGCTCTCGCAGTTCTGGGCCAGTGTTTGGCTCCTGGGTGTCATCACACTGCTACAGCCGTGAGCAATTTATCTTATTCAATTGAATCCTTTCAAGCGGGACCATTTTTTCACTAATTCTTCTGTGCTTGTTCAAGCAGGATTCCTTCTGCTAGTGAGGTTATCAGTAGGAAAAGAAAATAATGTCTTTGGTACAGAGACATTTGTATTTGCTGCGCTTCTCGGCTGGTTTCTTCTCCATCTGGAGTATTTTTGGACGTATGCTGCCTTATGCAGTATTTCCAGCTGCTTGCTGACTGATGTTGTCAGCTTCATGACAGTCTTGGCAAAGTATTTGCAGACCAAACTCTCTGGAGTATTTGTTTCTCCAGGAAAGAGGTTAAAGATGCTGCTATTTAAGCTGTGTGTTAAGAGTAAATATGGTTTGAACATACACATGAATTCGGAGATAGACATTTAACAAGAGCATGTAGTGACAGCACAAGGGGGAATGGCTTTAATGTGCCAGAGGGGAGATTGAGATGGGATCTTAGAAGTTCTTCCCTGTGAGGGTGGTTGGACACTGGCAGAGGGTGCCCAGAGAAGCTGTGGCTGCCCCATCGCTGGCCATGTTCAAGGCCAGGTTGGACACAGGGGCTTGGAGCAAGCTGCTCTAGTGGAAGGTGTCTCTGCCCGTGGCAGGGGGTTGGAGCTGGATGAGCTTTAAGGTCCCTTCCAACCCAAAGCAGTGAGTGATTCTGTATAGAATCATTTTGAAGTTAGGCTGCCTTTAAGTCCATCCAGGTCAGTGTCCTCTCTCCAGGATTAATCAATAGTGAATGAGAACAGAATAATAAAATAAACACATTGTAAGCATTTTTGCAGTATCTTTGAATCTCGTGGCAAGCTGCCGTCTTAGCCAGAGGCCTGAAAACACAGATTCACCCAGCCTATAAGGCATACTGGATAATCTGAGGACAAGGAAAGCTGTCTGTACTTTCAAACCATCTGTGCTTTCCAGCCGGGACAACAACGAGGATACAGCACTGCTCATCCGTGCTACCTCTGTATGTTAACACTATACTGCCCACTCCTAGGCCATGAGAAACTAGCCTCTCATGAGATAGCAGGTGAACTGCTCTAGGTGTCCCTAGAGAGTGACAAGCTGTGGGGTGGTCTTTGCTGTGCAAACTTCTGAAAGCATCCCTAATACCCAGCTCCTTCCTGATGCTGCTAAATGTCAGTGTCAGGAGCAGGCAGACCTGTGGGCAGCATTTCAGAGTGATACCACCAAGAATTGACTCTTTCTGATGATTAGCAGAGCATCATTAAAATTTTGTTTGAACTGACATCCATGGTAACACTTTGTGCTTCTGTGAAGCCCTTCATCCTACTTTTGCAGGCTCTCCTGTGTGTACAAAGCATCAGATAAAACACCTAATAGAAAGGCAATTTAAATGGTCATTAATGCAGTGATTCAAAGCTAAATTGGTTCAGGTTACTTCATCACTGCAAAAGGTTATTATTTTTATGCCTCTGCTGTGATCATACGCAGGTTTTCCCTCTGTTCCTGAGAGCTCAGCTCTGGAAAGGACGCTGTGAGCTGATCAGAAGTGATGAATATTTTTTTAAAAATACTCAAAATTTAAATTTCAATTGTGACCTTATTTAGTTGGTGGGATTATCTCTTGCTAATTCCATTTATATTTTTTTTAAAGTGATATACCAGTGCAGATGTTTGTGTACTTCTGCATTTAGAACTGCATTACTGAAAATGTTCTTGTTGTCGATGTACTAAACAGTAGTGAAATTCTAGCACTGGCTCTGTTGTTTGTGCCAATGGCCTGCAGAAGAGATGCATGCAATGGTTTATAAATACTATGCTCAAACTCTCACCACTCTTGTGGTGCTTTTTAGCAATGTGATTTACCCAAACAGGGACACAGAATCATTCAGGTTGGAAAAGACCTTTAAGATCATCGAGCCCAACTGCTGGAGGCTGATGAGTACTCTAAATCATTGTACATTTGCAGTACCACTGCAGTGCAACCTGCAGGCAATCATTTGAGTAAAAAAAAAAACGCCAAAAAAACAAACCTGAAAACAGCTTCAGATAAAAAAATATTTGAGAATTTCCTATAGTAATCTTCTTTGAAGCTCCTTGGATATTTCTTACGAAGGAATTGGGTGAAACTACAACAATCCATGAAAAAATAGAGCTGCTAAAGACAATTAAATAAGTGAAATAAAAAGCTGAGTTGAAACATATTTCTGAAGTTGCCTTAGCCTGCTATCCCAGCTGAATTATAGGGCTCTCAGAGGAATTCTGCTGATATTCAGACCATGACTAGCCATGCCCAGTGCCTGTGTGTGAACCCAGTCAAGCCTGAACACTGGAAATTTAGCACTGTGATTTCCAACTCGGATTTCTCCCTGCTTTAGTTGTCACCAGAGCTGTGCAAGCCAGCATGCTGCATTGTTTGGTGTAATGAGTTCCTCGTGGTAGTCAGGCTATGGATTTCTTACCCAGGTCAGATCAGACTCTAATAAGCCCCAGTTATAATTTCTCTTTCTCTCTCTCTTTTTTGGGGGAGAGGCTAAATTCAGTATAGTTATTCACTGTGGGGTATTCCCTCACTCTCTCTTCCCACAGCTGGCAACACTTGAAGGAAGGATTTTTTTTTTTTCCCCTAAGACATTCCGCTTTTCTGTGCTGTTGATGCTCCATATCAATCTCAAGGGAAGAGATGTGTCAAATTCTTCTTACCATTCAACAGCAAGAGTTCCCTTGAGTTTGGCTCCTGGGCTACATCATATTTACCAGTGCTTCCCCAAGCTCTTTCAAGACGCACAAAGCATCTGCCCATTGGACACTTCAGGATGCTCAGTTGATACTCCTCCAACAGAAGGTTTCCCTCTCACCATCCCAGCAACCAAGACTGCTCAGCACAGCAGTGAGACTGCCGTAGCACAGCAGTGAGACTGCTGTAACCCAGCAGCAACCAGAACGGGTGTGCTGAATGCTTTGGGCTAATTAGTCTCACTATACTTTTGTGGCATCTCTGTAGCAGTCTGCAGTACTGCATCGATCTCTGGAGCCAAAGCAGGGAGATGCTGCTGTCATTAAAATGATCGCTCAAGCCTGACAAACTAATTGCCTCGCACTCAGTGCCTGTTTTCTCTCTGACAGCCAGGTTGAGGGAGGCTGGGCTGGATTTAATTGTCTCTTGTCTTCACAGCAAGGTTAACTGTTTTAGCTTTTTGATGTAGCAGCGATGCTCCTGGTGCAGTATCTGGAACAGCAGGAGGGAAGAGGAGGAGGCTGCACATGCATTTGCAGAACACACAATGTAACCTGTAAACATAGGTACATGCAGGTCCTTCAGTGATGTGGAGAAGAGAGCTTTGCAAAGCTGATCCCCCTTGCTGTGATTATTAATATTCATTAACTTGATGAGTACAAGCTGCATGTCGCTGAGGCTTTATGCTTCTCAAGTGCTGTAGTTTCTTGTTCATTTTAATATGACTTCTGGGTTTTGCTGTGTTTAATCATCTGTAGCAATGCTTAGTGGCCCAGGTGAAATGGGAGACCATCAGGGAGGGTAAGTGGCTGTGTCTTCAAAGCAAGGATTTGTTTTTGCCTTGGTATTGTTCTTAGTGGTTTTGTGGAAAATAGGAGCTCAAAAAGGTGTTTGCCAAAGATCACTCCTCAGGCTAGAGGCAGAACTGGGAATTAAACTCTACAGCCACTGACCTGGGCCAATGTACTTAATATTGACATCCTCTTTCAGCTGTGAAATGCAAACTGCATATTTAACACTTCAGAAAAATGTCAGACTAGTCCCTGTCCTACAGTTGTTTGGCTTTGAGTGAGATACAAATTGTAGGAAGGAAGTTTTCTAGGGAAGGAAGGAAATTTCAATGGTCATTAAAATAGTGTTGGAGGATGGATGTGGAAAGAAACCTTTGATACAGTTGGGTGCTTTTATCTCTGGCTGAGCTCTCGGCAGATCTGCAGCTCTGCAGGGGAACCCACTAGGTTACGGAACCCCTTTACTCCATCACCAAGAGTGGGTCTGCTTGATGCCTGAAGGCTGGGACGGCAGGAGAGGATGTATCTAGGAGCTGGAAATAGAGATAAAAAGCATATTGAGGCCCTGTAAAGCAACCAAAGTGGGTGTTCAGGGCTTCAGATTCACCAGGGTCTTTCACATTGGTTGGCCATCAAGGGCTGGTTGATAAGCTCTGAGTCAACCTTTCCAAATGAGCATTGACCAGCTACCCTGTATAGGAGCAGCTGAAAACATCCCTGTGTTTTTTCCTCTTACTTCCGTATTTCAGCAACAGATGGGCAGAATGACATTTCTTGTGGTTGAGGAACCATAAATGAGGTGTTACGGAAGAGCTGGAGTTCTTCATCTAGTTTTTACTTCATTGATGCTGCCTTGAAATACTTTCACTAAAGGTTATTTTCAGACACCTCTGAAAGGCACTTGCTTATGAGCAAGTCTTACAGGCTCTGTGAGCTCCCCCAGCTCTCACCTCTACAGGCAACTTAGTTGAGGATTTTGGAAAACCTTAGTCATGTTATATTCTTGGAGGTGATATGGAATGTGATCCAAGCTTTGCATCTGCTTGGGCCAGCATTGCATTTCCCCCAAAGCTGCCATCTCACCTCCTAGAAGGACTCTTAGAGCTCAAGAAGGGAAAAAATCTGTTAAATGTCAGTACTTAGAGCATCTGAAACTTGTCATAAGGAAGAGGGCATTGAAAAGTAGGTCTTTCCAGGGCTAGGAATGACATTTTTTCATCCTTAAACACTAGTGCTCTGTCAGGCCACCATGCATGGTGGCTTTGCTGACAAAGTTGCTGTTTCTTTACCATAACTTTTGTCGCATGTGCATTACAGGAGCAGCACGGCCTTTGAGAGGAGTAAAACAGATGTGTTCCGAGTGAAAACCAATAATGTTGGACAAATAAAGAAAATAAGGTACCTGTACAATGTTGCTACCACAGTACCTGATCCAAGAGGTGCTAATTGAATGACAGGCTGTAGAGGTTTTAGTGTTGCCATGTTTTATTCATTACTTGTTAATGTGCTCCTATCAAGGTGAAGTTAAGGGGTGGTAAAAGCTTGTTTACTGCCTAAGATTTGAACTGAAGCATAAAATCACCTGCAGAATTGCTCATAGCTATCCATGCTCCCCATCAAGAATTGTATTTCTGTCATATGCAATCATGGAAGAAGGTGTTTAGGACTGGTTTTATGTCCCAGTGAAGGTAAATGGGGTTTGCTACCCTCTTTTGCTAAATTAGTGTGATGTAAATCATAATTATTATGTTTAACCACCATCTGACTGACCCATATAAAATAAAAAATTAGTAAGTAGTACAAAGGAAGCTGTGGAAACGGGAAGTGGTGGATAAAACAAAGCAAGAAGAGGAAAGAGCGGGAGGGATACAGAGTGGGATGAGAGCCACTTTTATTTTAGACATGAAGTGTAAGGTGAATTATGACACATACTGAATGAACATGCAGGTGTGTGTATGCTTGTGTGCATCTCCTTCAGATAACTGCCCACATATGCGCCTATGATACCTGCCCATAAATGTATATGAAAGGTTGTTATTTTCAAAATACTCTGTAAAAGCCCATAAGACCCATGAAAGATTTTGGGTAAGCAGGTATAAGCAAGCATTTTGGGTACAGTTGCTCTGGCCTTGCATAATATAAAACATTCCATAAAATCACAGTTCTAGTGGCTAGTCTTAACCAAAATACAAATCCAGGGTTGTTCTTCTCCTAGGATTGAGCATGATAACACCGGACTGAATGCAGGCTGGTTCCTTGACCGTGTGATTGTGACTGACATGAACAGACCTCACCTGCGGTTCTACTTCCCCTGCAACAACTGGTTGAGCAAGGAGGATGGGGATGGACTGTATGTCAGAGACCTCATCGGCAGCCTGAACCCCATGGATGTGCCCAAAAGTAAGGGTTTTCTGAAAAGCTTTGCTTCCTGGTGCCTTATCGGAAAGGACAGGGTTGTTTTCAGATTACTTCAGCCATGTAAAAAGTAATCATTTAGTGAATTTGTTTTCTTTACAGTCAGTGGAGAGAGAAATAAGAAGACACAAGATGCCTCCAGAGGATAATTCCTTCTTCCGATGTTAGATCTCAGCTTTTAGGGTGGGAAAAATCACTATTTAGAGAAGTTCTGCTCATTGGTTGAGCACCAAAGGATCTGTGGTGACTACTTTAAAGTAGATTAAATGGCTACTGTAGATGAGATGCATCCCACCCTGGAAGATGTAGCTGGTGTCTTTGTGTGCTATCAGAAGAGACAGCATAGTTGTAGTCCTGTGTATAAAGTGTTTCCAGGCTCTGGTGATGACCTGCAGGAAAATTCCATAAACAAGCCAACTGTCTTACTGTAATTCTATGCTGGTTTACTGTATATGTATGATATCCATATTGAAGTGGTGCCTATTTTTTCAGAGTGGTTTTAAGCTAATGATGTTGAAACGAAGCCAGGACAGCTTGCAAACCAGACGTACTCCCAAACTGATATCAGTGTGTAGGCCATGCGGTGATGTATAGTGCATGTAATGTGAGTGGGAAGATGATCGAGATGTGAAAGCGGAGCCAAAAAACCAGCCTCAGGTGGTATGTCAGCAGTTTATCTCCAAGTGCTAATGAGGAAACCAAGTTGTGTTTTCCTGATGAATTCACCAATGCTCTCCTCCTTTCTGGAAGCTTAATTTTTCGCTCATGAAGAGTGAAGTACCCCTTCCACTTGCCAAAGGTCTTGGGGAAAGGAGAAGGGAAACTTGTGGTTTTGTTTCACATATTTTGAGAACATGTAGTAGATTTCTTGCAGTAACATGGTTGATGGGACCTCTTAAGAGTTGGGTTGTTTTTTTTGGTAAAACCGCTTTATTGCCAGCCTTAACAAAGTGCTTTGAACATTGATAGATGCTATATAAGGGCAAAGTATTGTTATTTTTGTTGAGATGCTGCATAAAGTTAACAGAGAAACAGTACACTATGACACAATTTTCCATGAATTGTTGAATAATTTTGCCCTATTAAGATATGACCATCAGTATCAGTATGTTGAAGATGTAAGTATTGAATGTAAGTATTGCATGTATTGAGGTATTGCATGTGAGTTAGCACAGACAAATAATATTCATTGATAAGAAATATATGTGGGAGCATTTTATAAATGCAGACCTCTCCAGGGTGGCTGCCACAGGGGAGTGAGATAGCTTTTGGAGATGCTCTGCCAAAAGACCACCCAGTTACTGTTGGGGTTCTGTGTGCCAAAGTCCCTTTCTGATCTTTTATCTGTTCAGTTTGTGAAACAGAAGAGTTAAGGACACTCAAGGGGCAGGAGGGGTCTGAAGAAGACAGCAGATGAGTCAAAGCAATACACAATTAATGAGAGGTTCCCTAGAGGAAGAAGTTAACCATTCAATCTTAATGGATCTTTAAATGGCACAACAGTTTATCTGAACTTATTATTGCTCCTGAATGGGAGAGCTGATTCAAAGGAATGCATGTGATTTCCTCCATCCTGTTCAACACCTGTCTCTCAGCAGGAAGAGATTTGTGAGTTAAACGCTCAGCTGGTAAAAATCACTGCAGCTCCAACAAAAGTGCTGGAGCAAATTCACATTTCACCAACCAGCAAACTTGTCCTGAGCGTTCACTCTTCTGGTGAAGTGGTTTTGGTTAACAGATCAAAAGTTCACTACGTACTTGGTCCAGGACAAATACAAATTAGAGTGTCTCGTGAACATGAAATAAGAGATTTAACCAGGCATTTGTCAAAAATGAATCTGTTATCATTGCCTTTATCAGACAGAAAGGCCCACTTTAGATGGCACAGGCTGGATGCTCTGCGGCCCTCTATATAAATGCAGGGAGCTGGGCTAAGGCCAGAGGCATGGGTGAAGGGTTGGATGCTTTCCAGGCAGCAGATCTGAATCTGTAAGAGGAGAGGGGTAGCTTGGCTATCTCAGGTTGCAGTTCCCCTTGAACCATAATTAATGAAAGATGAACATTCCCAGACTGCTGAGGTGAACCATCAACTGAAAATGTAAATTTAACTGAATTCATTCGTCTTCCTCTAGATCTGTAAGGGTCTGAAATGAAATTGTGATATGATTTTCTTTATATATACAAGTAATTTGCCCTAAATTTGATTGGTTGGTTGGTTATGGGCTTTTTTTTTTGTGTGTGTATGTGGGTTTTTAATTTTGTTTTCCTTATTTTCATTCAAATGGATTAAATAGTTGTGTTTACTCTTTGAGTACTAATATTTTCTAGTCTACTAGAACAAATGAATAATTACGTGGTTTGGTGATTTTATGCACCTGTAAAGAAAGATTAATTACTCCCTCTTAAGTCTGTGTTTGCATTAGCAGTGTTCAGTGTCATACTCTTCTCCCATTTGGTCATGTCTCTTCAATCACTGTTCTCTTGTTTTCTTTAGTTCTTCTTTGTAAATCACCCAGGCACTGTTGTTACAGATCTCAGTCTCACGCTTTGCTTTCATGTTCCATTTGCTGCCACAGTGCAGTTTGGTTTTGGAGGTAACCAAACAAGTTTCCTCCTCCAACATTTCTAGCTTATGATGTTCTCCTCAAGAGTCTTCTCATATTTATCTTGAAGATTTAGCTTCCTGTCTTGAACTTGAGGTCACTGCTACGATGTGTATCATCCCTATGATACATGTGGAATGTGAACTAGAGAACAAATAAATAATTTTTTGGTCATAAGTTTGCTTTGTTGATGCAGCTGAAGCATATTTAAAGGGGATTATTAGTGCTTGAACCAAAACCTACTAAGCTATGCAGAGACTCAGCCTATTTCTTGGTGAGGAGAGGAGCACAGCCCAGCCAGAGAATCCCTGTGAGTCTGTGAGATTTGAAGAGGCTATTTTTAAGAAAAAAAAAAAAAAAGTGTTAAAAAAAAATAGTCAGCATATAATTGAAAAATTGGGAGGACACACACACAGAACAACAGTTCTTTTCATGATCCAAATAGAGTGATAGCAGATATCTGAATGATTTCATTTACTTATCTGAATAAAACTCCTCTTGTCAGATTCCCTGTTGAATGCCACACATTTCTCTAGGAAAACAGGTTGCATTTTAAGTGTTTCTGCGTGAATGATCCTCTATTCCCTGTATTCACAACCATGGCATCTTATGCCCATGGCCCTTTGACAGATGATAGTGCCACAGATTCTTATTTACCCTGCAGCTGCTCTTGGCGCCTGGATTGATTTACATTGCAGGTATTAATTACAAGGAAGGGCTATTGTTTAGGTTTATCCTGCTTCACTTGAATTTATGAAGCTTTAGGATTGTATGACTGTGGCTGAGCCTTTATGCAAGTCACTGACTCAAAACTGAAGTCAGGTGTTTTGAGTTTAGCAGGTTTTGGATCACTTTGAGGATGTCTGATATCCCACCAAAGTGATGGTGGGTGAGAGCATTTACAGCAGCTGCACTAATGAGAATTACTGATTCAATGGAGACACAAAGCAAATGGAACTCCGGAGCTTGTTCTCAGCAGTTGTTTGATAACTGCAGAATTACTTATACCACTCTGGGCACAGACACTTATGTCTCCCATTCCATGATGACTCTCATCTGGCTGGACTTCACTCACCTTTTCCCGATGGTCTGCATCCCCAGAGCCACTCAGCATCTGTGGCAGTTGGGACACCAGAGGTGTCTCTTTCTCCACCCCTATATGTGATGGGTACAGATTTTATCACCCAGCTGGAAAGCAGGGAGTCCTGAAATGCGGTCTTCAGGTGGATTTAAGAGTGCCTCAAGGCTTAATAATGCAATATTTTTGCATATGTTTTTTCCTGACTCATAAAAGCAGCTGAGGCTTGGTCAGGTTAGATGATGTATTAACTAACCCTTGGCCATCTTCTCTCTAGGATGACAACAGGCTGTAATTGCTATTTAGGTGGTCAAGGTCAGGCTGGCTTTCTGCAGCTTGGCCTCAGAACAAAGAAAAAGTTGCAGTTAGGTACCATCAACGCATACTGGCTCTACTTGATTACTCTTGAAAACTCTCCCTAATCAAAACATTTCTTTCTATAACATTGCTCTTAGACTGAGAGAAACTAGGAACAGTAATTTGAGAAGAAGACATGTAATCACTTGGTCCTTGTGATTGAAAACCTCCATGTTCAAGGATGCAGGTATCTGAAAATTAGTTGTCTTCTGTATGATTACAATTTATGCTAACTTGTCAAATTTTGGTTAAGGCTTGACAGCTTTTTTGCAAATGAGGTTTGAGAGACAAGGATTGACTTCCATCTTCATCTTCGAACATCAGTACCTGTCATTTTTTAAACCCATCCAGACAGCTTTTTCACTCACCCTTCCCCCCCTTGTTACCCTCCCCCTACTCCCAGGGGGACGGAGAGGAGAATCGAAAAGAATGCAACTCCCACAGGTTGAGATAAGAACAGTTTAGTAACTAAGGTATAACACCTGCTGCTGCCACGAATAATAATAATGATAAAGGCAATAACAAGGGAAGAGAATACAACACCTCATCACCAGGCGATCGATAACTCACCCCCCCAGCCCAACCAAGCACCGACCGATACCTCCTCCAACCCCTGCAGTCCCAGCCCTTCTGGGTAACTCCCAGTTACCTCCTGGGCATGATGTGCTGTGGTATGGAATACCTCTTTGGTCAGTTTGGGTCAGGTGTCCTGTCCCCAAGTCCTTGGCCAAACCAAAACATCATTGTTATCAGTTCTGCTCCCAGGCCAAAAGTCAAAACACAGCACTGCACCAGATACCAAGAAGGAGAAAAATAACTGCTACTGCTAAACCCAGGGCAGTACCCTGAAATAGTTTAGGATTGGACACAATGTGCATGGAGCAGCAGCTCATGTCAAACTGTTCCAAGGCTGCATTTTCACAGTGGGACAAAACCACATGTGAGAC